TCAATCCGACCCAAAATATGGATCTTTCTTTTTAAAGACGACTTAAAGTTAGGGTTGCTTTTTTTCACCCCTAACCCAATATCTAGATCATTTTTTTCGACCAAAAGTCAAATAACATTTAGTATATATTAATATTATAGGCGGGAAAGTTACTTAAAGCTTCTTTAAATTATAATGCTCTGATTAACTATTCATCATAGTTATATTTTAAAATTTTTAAGTGATGTACCATAGAAAAGTGCCATTTGTCATGATAATTATTTTTGAACTTTTTTAAATGAAATAGAAAAATATATATTGTAGACATGTTAAATCAAAATTTCAGTGATGATGTACCATAGATAAGTGGTAATTGTATATGCATAATCGCTATTTTTGAACTTTTTTGAGTTTCTTTAAAGCAAATTGCTAAAAATATATATTCTAAACATGTTAAATTAAAAATTCAGTGAGGATGTATCATAGATAGGTGACAATTGTCATAATCGCTATTTTTGAACTTTTTTCAATTTTTTTAAAGGAAATAGCAAAAAATATATATTCTAACCATGTTAAATTAAAAATTCAGTGAGGATGTATGATAGATATGTGACAATTGTCATAATCGCTATTTTTGAACTTTTTCAAATTTTTTTAAAGGAAATATCTAAAAATATATATTCTAAACATGTTAAATTAAAAATTCAGTGAGGATGTATCATAGATAGGTGACAATTGTCATAATCGCTATTTTTGAACTTTTTCAAATTTTTTTAAAGGAAATAGCTAAAAATATATATTCTAAACATGTTAAATTAAAATTTCAGTGAGGATGTATCATAGATAGGTGACAATTGTCATAATCGCTATTTTTAAACTTTTTCAAATTTTTTTAAAGGAAACATCTTAAATAAAAATCTTAAAATATATATTCTAAACATGTTAAATTTAAAATTCAGTGAGGATGTATCATATATAGGTGACAATTGTCATAATCGCTATTTTTGAACTTTTTCAAATTTTTTTAAAGGAAATATCTAAAAATATATATTCTAAACATGTTAAATTAAAAATTCAGTGAGGATGTATCATAGATAGGTGACAATTGTCATAATCGCTATTTTTGAACTTTTTCAAATTTTTTTAAAGGAAATAGCTAAAAATATATATTGTAAAGATGTTAAAATAAAATTTCAGTGAAGATGTACCATAGAAAAGTGACAATTGTCATAATTGCTATTTTTGAACTTTTTCAAATTTTTTTAAAGGAAATAGCTAAAAATATATATTCTAAACATGTTAAATTAAAATTTCAGTGAGGATGTATCATAGATAGGTGACAATTGTCATAATCGCTATTTTTAAACTTTTTCAAATTTTTTAAAGGAAATATCTAAAAATATATATTCTAAACATGTTAAATTAAAAATTCAGTGAGGATGTATCGATAGAATGAGTGTATAGATGAAGACAATTGTCATAATCGATATTTTTGAACTTTTTCAAATTTTTTTAAAGGAAATAGCTAAAAATATATATTGTAAAGATGTTAAAATAAAATTTCAGTGAAGATGTACCATAGAAAAGTGACAATTGTCATAATCGCTATTTTTGAACTTTTTCAAATTTTTTTAAAGGAAATAGCTAAAAATATATATTCTAAACATGTTAAATTAAAATTTCAGTGAGGATGTATCATAGATAGGTGACAATTGTCATAATCGCTATTTTTAAACTTTTTCAAATTTTTTTAAAGGAAATATCTAAAAATATATATTCTAAACATGTTAGATTAAAAATTCAGTGAGGATGTATCATAGATAGGTAACAATTGTCATAATCGCTATTTTTGAACTTTTTCAAATTTTTTTAAAGGAAATAGCTAAAAATATATATTGTAAAGATGTTAAAATAAAATTTCAGTGAAGATGTACCATAGAAAAGTGACAATTGTCATAATCGCTATTTTTGAACTTTTTTCAATTATTTGTTATCAATTATTTTAAAGGAAATAGGAAAAAATATATATTCTAAAAATGTTAAATTAAAAATTCAGTGAGGATGTATCATAGATATGTGACAATTGTCATAATCGCTATTTTTGAACTTTTTCAAATTTTTTTAAAGGAAACATCTTAAAATATATATTCTAAACATATTAAATTTAAAATTCAGTGAGGATGTATCATATATAGATGACAATTGTCATAATCACTATTTTTGAACTTTTTCAAATTTTTTTAAAGGAAATATCTAAAAATATATATTCTAAACATGTTAAATTAAAAATTCAGTGAGGATGTATCATAGATAAATGACTTTAACATGTTTAGAATATATATTTTTAGCTATCTCCTTTAAAAAAATTTGAAAAAGTTCAAAAATAGCGATTATGACAATTGTCACCTATCTATGATACATCCTCACTGAAATTTTAATTTAACATGTTTAGAATATATATTTTTAGCTATTTCCTTTAAAAAATTTGAAAAAGTTCAAAAATAGCGATTATGACTAATTGTCACCTACTATATGTGACTATTATGACATCCTCATAATTTTAATTTAACATGTTTAGAATATATATTTTAGATATTTCCTTTAAAAAAATTTGAAAAAGTTCAAAAATAGCGATTATGACAATTGTCACCTATCTATGATACATCCTCACTGAATTTTTAATTTAACATGTTTAGAATATATATTTTTAGATATTTCCTTTAAAAAAATTTGAAAAAGTTTAAAAATAGCGATTATGACAATTGTCACCTATCTATGATACATCCTCACTGAAATTTTAATTTAACATGTTTAGAATATATATTTTTAGCTATTTCCTTTAAAAAAATTTGAAAAAGTTCAAAAATAGCGATTATGACAATTGTCACCTATCTATGATACATCCTCACTGAATTTTTAATTTAACATGTTTAGAATATATATTTTTAGATATTTCCTTAAAAAAAATTTGAAAAAGTTCAAAAATAGCGATTATGACAATTGTCACCTATCTATGATACATCCTCACTGAATTTTTAATTTAACATGTTTGGAATATATATTTTTAGATATTTCCTTTAAAAAATTTGAAAAAGTTAAATAATATTGATTTGACAATTGTCACCTATATATGATACATCCTCACTGAATTTTTAATTTAACATGTTTAGAATATATATTTTTAGCTATTTGCTTTAAAAAATTGAAAAAAGTTGAAAAATAGTGATTATGACAATTGTCACCTATCTATGATACATCCTCACTGAATTTTTAATTTAACATGTTTAGAATATATATTTTTAGCTATTTCCTTTAAAAAATTTGAAAAAGTTCAAAAATAGCGATTATGACAATTGTCACCTATCTATGATACATCCTCACTGAATTTTTAATTTAACATGTTTAGAATATATATTTTTAGATATTTCCTTTAAAAAATTTGAAAAAGTTCAAAAATAGCGATTATGACAATTATCACCTATCTATGATACATCCTCACTGAATTTTTAATTTAACATGTTTAGAATATATATTTTTAGATATTTCCTTTAAAAAATTTGAAAAAGTTTAAAAATAGCGATTATGACAATTGTCACCTATCTATGATACATCCTCACTGAAATTTTAATTTAACATGTTTAGAATATATATTAATTTTTAGCTATTTCCTTTAAAAAATTTGAAAAAGTTCAAAAATAGCGATTATGACAATTGTCACCTATCTATGATACATCCTCACTGAATTTTTAATTTAACATGTTTAGAATATATATTTTTAGATATTTCCTTAAAAAAAATTTGAAAAAGTTCAAAAATAGCGATTATGACAATTGTCACCTATCTATGATACATCCTCACTGAATTTTTAATTTAACATGTTTGGAATATATATTTTTAGATATTTCCTTTAAAAAATTTGAAAAAGTTCAAAAATAGCGATTATGACAATTGTCACCTATATATGATACATCCTCACTGAATTTTTAATTTAACATGTTTAGAATATATATTTTTAGCTATTTGCTTTAAAAAAATTGAAAAAAGTTGAAAAATAGTGATTATGACAATTGTCACCTATCTATGATACATCCTCACTGAATTTTTAATTTAACATGTTTAGAATATATATTTTTAGCTATTTCCTTTAAAAAAATTTGAAAAAGTTCAAAATCAGCGATTATGACATTTGTCACCTATATATAATATGATACATCCTCACTGAATTTTTAATTTAACATGTTTAGAATATATATTTTTATCTATTTCATTTAAAAAAGTTCAAAAATAATTATCATGACAAATGGCACTTTTCTATGGTACATCAATTAAAAATTTTAAAATATAACTATGATGAATAGTTAATCAGAGCATTATAATTTAAAGAAGCTTTAAGTAACTTTCCCGCCTATAATATTAATATATACTAAATGTTATTTGACTTTTGGTCGAAAAAAATGATCTAGATAATTGGGTTAGGGGTGAAAAAAAGCAACCCTAACTTTAAGTCGTCTTTAAAAAAAAGATCCATATTTTGGGTCGGATTGAATAAAACGACCCGATGTTTGAGTCTGAGTCAGAAAAACGACCCAAACTTTGAATTGGAGTCGAAAAATACGACCCAAACTTCAAGTTTGAGTCAAAAAATACGACCCAAACTTCATGTTTTAGTCGAAAAAACAACCCAAACTTCAAGTTTGAGTCGAAAAATATGACCCAAACTTCAAGTTTAAGTCGAAAATAAATACGACCCAAATTTTGAGTCGGAGTCGTAAAAAACGACCCATATTTTGGGTCGAGGTCGTTTTTTTCGGCTTGGACTTGGGTCGGAGTCGAAAAAAACGACCCATATTTTGGGTCGAAGTCGTTTTTTTCGGCTTGAACTCTGGTCGAAGTCGTAAAAAACGACCAAAACTTTGAGTTGGAGTCGAAAAAAACGACCCAAAATTTGAGTGAGCTCTGTTCGAGCCGACTCGGCTAAGCCGATTAACAACACTACCTTTAACACAACTTGTAAACAATATTACCCATTAAAATATAAAATTTTTATTATTAATTTTATAACAAAACGCATAATTATTTCAAATATGATTTTAAATTTATTTTCATAATTTTGATTCAAATCACATAATACTAAATAATAGGAATATATTGTTACAAGAAAAAAACTGAAAAAAAACGAATATTTATGATAACTCTTAATAAATTGAATTTTTAATATTATTTTTCGGAATGTTCCCCCCGTTCTTTTCAAGTTCCAAAATTATATCCAAGTTCCGTTCCATGAACGTCCGAAACGTTCTCATGCCCCTGGTTTAAACATATATGTAGCCATGGAAGGATCCTCTTCCTTCTGGAAAAATACAGATTTGACTGTAGAAATTCTATATATCTATCTCGCATTTCTAATAGTTTGAACCAGAACTATATTATATACTTTATGCATTCGAAATCGAATATTCGATTTTATGAAATCTAGTTATGATAAAACCAGATGATCTGATATCAGATCGAGCCCGGATCTTTTCTATTTGAATCTGGTGGTTTTCTTAAAATAGCCAGTTCTTTATTTAAAAAATACATCAATTAACATATTTATTTTAAAAATGAAGATTTCAAAATTAAAATTATTTTCTTTTGTTTAAAATTTAATGTGAAATTAAAGTGCTTCAACTTGTCGTCGGTCTAGAATTGGAGTGCTCTACTCTACATTTTCTTGAGTTAGAAATCGATAGTAACTTATTTATTCCCAATATTTATAAAAATATAAACTAGATTAAAAAAAATAATATTTTTGCAAAATTTATAGCTTTGTCAAAATTGATCAATAAGGTTTTCTTATACTTGATTTTAAACTTTAATGTTGATTTTCTCATTTCAAACATTTGCCAAGTGGAGCACTCCAATTCTAGGCCGATGTAGTATTAGATCGAGGAGGCTTATTTAAAACTGGATAAATCAATACCAAAATTATATTGTCTAGGCCTCAAGATTTGGTCAAAAGAGGGCTGAACCTCTTTGCCATCTATATAATCTCCAGGCTTAGGTAATATTTTGGCTAAAATATCTATTTAATCGTTTTTTAAAAAATGTCTAACTCTAGATATAGATTTTCGACTTCTTGGGTGATATTTCTCTCTAGAATAAATATTGTAAAAAATTTGATTTTTTTACTATTATAAAAAATTGATTTAAATATTAAAAATCATAATTTAATCAAAAATCAGTTTTTTAAATTTTTTTTTAGAAAATAAATCATGATTGCCACTTCTATCTAGTTAGGTTTTCATATTTATGGTTAAGTCTTTCTTTACAATTTGGTTTATGGTTTGTTGAAAATTTGCTCCTGACCAAACCATGATCTTCATTTGCTCCATTTTTAATGTTAATTTAAAGATTGTTAATTATTGTTATTACACTATTAATTTTATGTTTGTTAATATAAAAAAATTGTAATCTGGTAATATATATATAAAATAATTAAATTTACCATCCAAAATAAATTTTGTCGTGTCCAGTCCAATAAAATCAAGCAATTCAAAAGGCCCCATGGGATAACCTGCACCTAATTTCATTGCAGAATCAATATCTTCTTTACTTGCATCACCTATATTAAAATTATAAATAATTAAATAATACATTAAAAGACCTCTTTCATACATTTGTACAGCTTGTATAAGGTAAGGAATTAAAAGATGATTAACAATGAATCCAGGAGTATCCTTTAAAAAGTTTGTTAATTTTTTAAAATAACATATTCTTTAGTGATGCTATTTTATATAAATAAGAACTTTTGCTATACTTTACATCTAACTGAATGTTTATCAAGACTTTTTACATAATCTGTTAACGTTTTTATTGTTTCTTTAGATGTGGAATCCAAATAAATAATCTATAAAAATATTCATATATTATTCCATAATTAAATACAACTTCAACTAATTTCATAATAGGCACAGGATTAAAAAAATGAAGTCCAGCAAAATTTTCTTCTCTATTTGTAACCCTTGCTATATCCTTGATTGGTAAGGAAGATGTGTTAGATGTAAATATTGTTTGTCTTGAGATGTAAATTTAATATTTTTATAAAATAAAAAATACTTTGGAGCAAGTTGATCCAAATTTGCAAACAATTTTTGTTTGTTCTCTATATTTTCAACAATCGCTTCAATTATTAGATCACTTTTTTTTGCAGCTTGATCATGAGATTCAATAAATGTTAAATACTCCATTTTTTCTTTACAGAATATATTCGCTTTAACCTTAAATATATTTATAATCAGCTCAAATATAATAAAGATTACACTATCTCCAGTATATTTCTTTAAAGCTAATTTTGATATGTTCTTTAATACTCTCTCTTTGGAAGTATCAAGAATATTTTTATTTTGATCAACCAAAGTAACATTATAACCAGCTATAGCATTAACCTATCAAACTTATTCATTTAATTATTTTATTTAAATATAACCTGAGCAATACCAGAACCCATTAAACCCCCTCCAATTATCAAAACATTCTTTATCTTCATATGGTGGCAATATCGTTTATGTGCTAAATTTATCAGCTGCATCATGCCTATCATATTTGACTTTTTAGGCAAATTATTAATTAGTAAATATAAATAATAATATTTATACAGCGTTTATATATTTATAACAAATTGTGTTCTATATTAACTTTTATTTTTATTATTACTTAATTTATATTACTTTTAAATTGTTAATATGAGTGTGAAGCTATGTTTTATAATTGTAATTGATTTACATTTTATAAAAAAAAGATATATTTTTTTTATATATAAAGCTGTGGCGTCACTGGGGGGGGGGGGGCACAGGGGCTCGAGCCCCCTGAAAAATTTGAATAGCCCCCTGAAACAAAAATTTTTTTTAATGGAATCTTAACCCCTTGAACTAAAAATAAATTTTTTTGATTGTCCTCTGAACGATTTATTTTATAATTCTATTAAGTAATATGTAGATTTAATTTTATTATTTAAAAATAAATAAGATTTTTATTAAATGAATACTATTTTGAATATTCGGCCCCCTTAAAAAAATTTTTGGCCCCCAAATCTGGCCCCCAGAAAAAATCTTTGGCCCCCAAAGTGGCCCCCAAAAATTTTTCTGCCCCCCCCCCAAATTTGAAATTTTTTTTTAGAATTGATTATTTTTATATTTTTAATATAAATTTTGAATATTTATTCAAAAATATTCGAAAAACATGTCTATTTAGAATTGATTATTTTTATATTTTTAAAATAAATTTTGAATATTTATTCTACAAACATGTCTAGTTTGTAAATTTTTTTCTATCCTGTTTTATTTTTATTTTTACCCAATATTAAATTATCATTCATTCATTTTTTTTCATTTTTTTTTGTTGTGTATAACATTCTCTATAGGTATCACATTTATATTATAATATATAACCAGTTATTTTATTTTACAACGTTTATTTTAAAATTATGAAGAAACAATCAGTTATTAACTCTTATTTTAAGTTAAAGTTAAAGAAATGTCAAGCAACATCACCTCTACAAACATCTAGTAATACTACATCAGAAATTTCAGAAACTGATTCTTCTCATAGTATAAATTTATATTATTATTTTATGACTTATATGATATTGATATAGGGTGTTACCTATATATTATTATTTCATATATATTTATTTTATATAAGATAAGAGACAGACATTTATTATTAATATTATCATTTTTGTATAATAATTTTAATTATTAAAATAAATATATTCACTCATATTTCAAGATATGAATGAAGCTAATAATCTAGAAAATGATCCTCACTACACTCAGGAGGAGGAAGATGGTAAATAGTTTAAAATTTAACCCAAATTTTTCTATTATATTTTTGACAATATCAATAGTAGTAGGAGATTATGGTGTTTCATTATTACATTTTGATTTTAAAACAAATAAAGACGAAGAAGAGACTCAATCATCTTCATCTAGCAGCTCAGTCTCTCATTGTCAAGAGGCAACTAGTAATTGATTTATAAATGTAAAAATATTATATTTTTTTGTTAATCTTTAAAGATATAACGTTTATGACCTTTTTCTAGTTTTTAATACTGAATATCTATAATTTTACTGATAATCTTCATCAGGGTTGGGCACTACAGTATAGCAAATACTTGTATCTTAAATACAAGTAAATTTTGTGTTTGTTCATTTTCAGCAGGCCCTTCCTTCGCCCATCCTGATGACCATTATTATTTATGACCCTTTCCCTTATTACAATTTATTAATTATAATATTTTTAGTGTCAAAAAAGTCCTCTAATGGTTCAATTCAAATCCCAGGTGATTTTGGCCAGAATAAACCAAATCAAATCAAATTAAACAATTACGTGAAAAAAGATATCCATGGAAGGCAAAGATCATTTCAAAAATCATGGTATAAAGGCCGAGACTGGTTGGAGTATAATGTAGAAGCTGACGCTGCCTTTTGTTTTCCATGTAGGAAATACTTGTGTAATCCAAGTGATGAATTTGGACAAACGGGATTCAGAAATTGGAAAAATGCGATAGCTGCCAAGAAGGGACTGCTAACACGAGAGCTCAAAAGCTCATTTAAATTCAATTACAATATTGTATGATAAAAATCAAAATATAAACAAAGGTACAGAAATAACTAAAATGTTGGGAGGTGATCAAATTAATCGTAATCAATATTATATTAAATCAATATTTGATTTGATGCTATTTCTTAGCATACAAGAGCTACCTTTCCGTGGGACTGGTTCAACAAATATTACGGATGCTGCAAAAGATGAGAACATAATTTATTCTTCTGGGCTATTTATAGCAATATTTTCCTACACCATCCAAAAAGACCCTGAATTAAATAAAATTATGAAATTTATACCCCAAAATACCCAGTATACATCACCACAGATTCAAAACGAAGTAATATTCATTATGGCAAATATGGTGCTTGAACATATTTCAGACAAATATAATAAAAGCGAGATGCCCTTTTTTTGTCTTAAGGCTGATGAGACAAAAGATGCTTCAGGTTGTGAAAACCTGAGCATAATAATTCGTTATATTTTTTCTGGAGAAATCCAAGAAAATATAATAGGAATCATTAATTTAGAGTGTCTTTCTGCTGAAAGCATTACAGATTGCATTTTAAAGCAACTTAATGATCTAAATATTAATTCAGCTAATATAATAAGCCAGGCATATTATGGTGCAAACGTTATGTCTGGCCGAAATGGAGGAGTGCAAACACTTCTTCAAAAAAAAATTAATAAAAATGTTCCTTTTATACATTGCTACAACCACAAGTTGCATCTTGTGGTTCAAAATTGGTATAATAATATTGTTATTATTTCTAATTTTTTTAATTTATCAAATGCATTGTATAATTTTTTCAGGCGTTTTAACGTATCCTGTAAATATACACGCCACACCCTTAAGAGACTTTTAGACCAGAGGTGGCCTGGTCATTTGGAAACATCTTGCATTATTTATGAGAATTTTGAGGCTATTGGTGAAGTATTATTTTACTTTTCTAATAGAACTCTTAATTCAGAGGTTTCAATTCATGATTCAGTCGAAGCCTCTGGTCTTTTATCTCAATGTATTAATATAAATTACATTATATTAGCCATCATAATTTATGAGATATTAATTACAATAGATCCACTAAATAAGTATCTACAATCAGTAGGTACTAATCTAGTGGATGCTAAAAATTGTATTGATTCTACTATAAATATATTAAAAAATAAAAGAAGTGATAATTCTTTTGCTTTGATTATGATTAAGGCTGAAAAACTTCTATCAAAATTTAATCTTACTCCCCAAAAATCATCACGGGTACGTAAAACGCCTAAAAATTTCCAAGATTTTTTAGTTGATAGCAAACTAGAATTCGATTGTGAAAAAGACTCCAATTGGAGTTCTTTAAAAAGGATATATTATGAAATTATAGATAACTTTGTGGATCGTTTTTTAGATCGATTTACAGAAGATGATTTTAATCTTTTTTCATCTTTTAATACATTGTCCCCCCTTGACCCTGATTATTTTTTATCAGATAAAATGGCCCCATTAAAATCCCTGTTAAACTTAAATATGGAAACACTGCATCATGAAATGAAGATAGCAAAAGGATTGCTAGCTTCGGAAGCTAAAGAAAATCATAATTTTGAAAATATCTTGCATATTATGTATAAAACAAAATATAATCATGCATTTAAAGAATTATATAAATGCTACTCAGCAGCGATAATCATTGGGATATCAACGGCTTCTTGTGAGGCCTCGTTCTCTATAATAAAGTATTAATGGCGTATGAAAAAAGAATAACGCAGAATTTATCTTTTAGTTCATTTATATTAAAATTTAAAAATAAAAATCGCCGTATTCTATTATAGTAATATTTTGTTTTGTATATGCATATTATAGTATTATTTTGTTTTGTATATTCATATTATAGTATTATTTTGTTACTAAATTTTTAATAAAAATAGGAAAAAATTTATATGAATGCGTAATTATTTGTTTGATTTTAAAAAAATAGTGCCCCCCCCCAAATAAGCACTTGGCCCCCCTAAGTGAAAATTCCTGGCTACGGCATATTAGATTAGATTAATACATATAAATTATATTTTCACTAAGTCAGCTTGCAATCAAATTGTTAAAAATAGAATATCAATATCACTCACTAAATATTAATTGAGCATCAACAGTTGAAGCTTAATTGACTATTATTATTTAAATTATTATATAACTCTAATTAAATAAATATGATTATTTATTAATTGAAAACTAACAAATTTAATATTCTAATTAGCCGAGTTCAAAATCACTAAACAACTATATTATTCATTTTTAAATTTAATTACCATGCTTCTTCCTAAAAATATTTTTAAGGTCCAAATAAGTATAAGAGATTTCTTTATATAAAGTAAGTAGTAATAGTTGATAATCTTCTATTATATAAAATTGATTATAAAATAATATTAGGTAAAATGCCAGTTTTACAGACGTATTTGACAGTTATATAATATATTACAGTTAATATTATAATAAATTTTACTAATAAATGCTTAAGATAATAAATATAGTAACAATTTGCATTTAAGTATTTAACGCCATCTATTTAGTTTTAAATAATTTTAAATATTAAACATTTTATTGTTCATCTTACAATGGATGTAATGTAAAAAATTAGATATTTGCATAATTATTTCCTCTAAGATTTTTAGTATTTATATTATATCATTTTATCCAACATAATAAATTCTGAGTTTACATAGTGAGTGTCATGCCTATGACTGCAAATTAATCAGCATCTATTCTTTGCGTTGCTATGTAATTTAAGATTATTATTACAGCTGCTGAGAGCATATGATTTCATATTTTAGATAAACAATAATGGTCAACTGTGTGGTCGTTTATATATCATTAAAAATGGAAGATAATATTTTAGAAATTTAATATCTCACAATAATTTTCTTTATTACTTATCTAGCTTCCATCATGTCATCTAAGATCAAGCTCTAACCTTTATGCTTTTATGAATTTGATTGGTCGTTTATACTCTCTTCTTCAAGAATTG